GGGGCGGGGCGGGGCGGAGCAGCTCGAGATAAGACCTCCGCTTGCTCCGTGGGCTCAGCGGGATTTTCTGGGAACGCCACCGCGCTCCTCACAATGGGCGCGGCGCGGCACAGGACGGATGTCCGACGCGCTCGCGAAAAAGGGTGATGGAGGTAGAGGCGTTTTTGGAACGCCAGAAGCGGAGGTGGAGGGAATGTGACACTTCTTTAAATCCTAGCCCCAAGCACGAAAATTTATCGAATCCTTTACATCCTCAGCTGAACGCTAACGATGAAAATAAATTAAGGTTATCCTCTTAAAAACGGAAACCTCTAAAGCGAAATAATGTTCAAGGAACTATTGAAATTTCATTACAATTCGATACGATTCTTTGTTGCATTAGAAACGCATTTCCCCTTAATTTCACATCAAAGACGTTCCTAAGAAATTAATTGTATTGGCGATTGGGCGGCAAACGTTTTAAATAGTAACTGGTATGTAGAAGATCAAAGTCAATGTTTTAATCTGGGCAAACGCGTAATTCCAAATACCCAATTAGAAACAAGTTAGTGAAGCACAGAAGAAGTTATGTAAAATTAAATGTAGTTGAAATAGCGTGCAATGAACAGCTACATTCCTAACATTAATGCCATAATTACTCCTAGAACGTGTGTATATAATTATATTTTTGCTACTACTTTACGAGGAGAATAAATACACCTGCGTAACAGCCTAATTCGCTCCAGGGGCGCACCGGTGCCGGAACGCCGTTCCGGTGCTGCTCCTCTTGGGAAGTTTGCGGTCCAGCATAAACAAAATCAAAAGTTCCGAACCCCTCCTTTTCGTAGTCTGCTGTACTGTTTTTTGGAATTTTGCGGTCCGCTACAATACAAAATCAAAGGAGCATTTTTGGATAAATTAAGTCTGCCCCATAGGTACGGAAAGTTGGCCTATGACTAAAGGCGACAGTATTTGTCCAATAGTGAGCGACTACTCGCCGAATCCCCGACTAGTGTGAAAGGGTCACTTGCTCTTTGCGACGACCTGCTCGCCCGACCCACCGCGTGTCGTTCTTTTGAACACACCAAAGGGAGCGAACATTCTCCGAGCACATCAGCTGCTTGAAATAGGGCGTGCAGTGGCTCGCTACTCTCAGAATGCCGAATGTATGGAGTCGCCTTCACATGGACAGCAAACCTCTTGCGTGTGCAGAAAGGGATGACAAATTTTTAAATGAGCCACGAAGCTTTTCGTAATAAAACATTTTATTCTCGTTAATAAGTTCAATCCATTATTTCCCTTTTTTTAACTTGACAATTTGGGAAATTGTTAGTCGCTTTTGGGCAAGAGGCTCTCTACGCCATCTGACAACTGTGTACATTTTTAACATTACTTTCATTAATCATATCGTTAAAGTTATAATTTCCCTCTCGTTGAAGAACATTTTATTCATCTGCAAGTAAATCATCACACGGAGATCGAGAAGTTCAATGAAAAAGTGGTCCCAGAACTGTAGTACCCCCCTCCCCATCCCCCTCTTGCCGAGCACGCCTAGGCAAGTGCGGAATGCTCGAGGGAAGCTCCGTTTCACGCCGGTTGGTTCGTTCGTTTCGCGGGGACGTCATCAAAGAGCCCTTTCTTCCTCCGGCGCGCGCGTGGCGCGGGTGGCAAACGCACGACTACACGGCCATCCTGGACACGTAAGACCGGCGGCCAGGCGCGGCGCGGCGGCGGCGCGGCGCGACGTGCAAGTACCGCGCCCGCCCGCCCGCCCGCCGGCCGGATAGAGGATGGGTCCACTCATGTTCTCTCCGTCGAAAGCGCCGTGGACCGACCCACGCGGAACCAAAAACTCCGCGCGAGAAACCGCAAGGAACTTCCCGTCCAGTGGGAGCGTAGGAGATTAGGATGCGGACATCGATATCATGGTTTCAAAACTTCGATATTTCAGAAGAAAAATCGATGAATCGAAACCGATGTTTTGGATTCGGTGCTCTTAAGTTTTCAATGTTTTGTTTGTGGATGAAAGATACACATACACACAATTTTGAGAAAGTTAAAATAAAAAACAATAACTGATGGTACAATATCTTTTTGTAATCGATCGAAAAGAACGCGGTTTGTTCTATCTTCGTAGAGCAGACTATAATCCCCTGCTTGAGATGATCCTAATGGCCTGGTATTTGCTTTATCGTTCCTGTATTTGGCAGATAGGGAGACGTTAGATAACTTTGTTTTCTGTTAAATTTGAATAATAAATTAATAGGTGCGGCCATTGTCATATTAAATTTTGTTGCGCACGAATTTAATGTTACAGGTTCCTAAACCAACTTTAATACATCAATGGTTTTTGGTCGATGAATTTTTAACACCAATGTTAATTAAATCATCTGCATTAATTCAACATCATCCCAAAACGCTATTTGACTTCATTGTTAAAAAAACATAATCTTCATTTATCGACGAAAATTCAAGGTGTTGTTTTTTATTATCCTGAGTTCTTAGGTCTTAAGAAAGTTATGGATACCTGAAAATGATTGCAGGTTTTTGTTATAATGACACTTTTACATTAAAAAAATAAAATATCAACCGTTTAAAACCGTCGATAAAAATGATTTGAAAACATAGAGATCAATGCTGTAACCTAATTCTGGGCGGTCTATTTGGTTTTCGGCAAACCCCGTACGCAAGCTTGGCTTCTGCCAATTGCCGGACAGAGGGACCCGTATTTTCTCCTTATTGGAGGAGCCTGTGGTTTGCATAGATCGTAAATATGGCGTATTCTCCCATAAAGGAATACTTTACTAGATATTTACAACCTGCGCAAGCCAGGTTTGCACGCCCCGCTCGCTGGGGTATGTGCT